AGTGGGGATACAGTGATTATGCAATGGTAGAAATAGATAAACTGTAAAATTATGTACTACAAATAAAAATTAGGTGAAGGTCAGACCACTGAAGTGGTATATATCATTTTGATCAGAACATTAAGAGAAACAAAATTTAGCACCAGAGGCCCTAATTTGGACACTTTAGGCTACTTCAGGAGGTATTAAAAATACAGAAAACCAATGGGAAGAGAATACTGAATTGTGGGCTCTATTGATACCAGGAAGGGGAAAATGAAGCTCTTAGCCCAGAAGTACAACCTTCCAGGAACTGAACATGATATGGAGGGGTACCTGAACCCTTCTGGGGAGGGAGTAGTAATATAAGCACTCATTTTTAATTTTCTTACAATAGAGTTGAAAAAAAAATCCTGCTTTTGCAGCATTTGAGCTGAGAGCTTTCTCCTTTCCCCCCAAATTTATAATTCTATTCTCACTATTCCAGGTCTCCTTGCTTGAGAAGAATTTCATATCAACCAACATAACGTCCATGTTTTACTAGCATTCTCATTTTTACCAATCAAGTTTTAATTAATTTGTATTATAAGAACAGAGTGAGCAAGCTTCTGATATTCCGTCTTCCCTGTGTGTGTTGGAAGAGCAAGGGTAGATGACAGATGCCTGTAACATTACGTAGTTAAGTCTTTGATATTCCCAATCATGTGGATTACTAGGTAGATTTTAGCTTAAACACTAGAAGAGGCTACCAGAATTTTTAACTTTTCTTAATCCAAAATGTATCAATATGGAGTATCATCCAGCTATATTTGAAACATGTTTCCTGGTTTTATATCTTCTCATGTCATGTTGCAGGAGGACTTCTAACTCCAATATATTTTGGGGCTATGATTGATACAACATGTATAAAGTGGTCCATCAACAACTGTGGAAAACGAGGGTCTTGTAGAATGTACGACTCCCTGTTACTTGGGTAAGTTTTCAGAAATATATTTCATCAATTAATTTTTCTTCCTTTGAGTACATTAATCCTAAAAAACATTATTTCCAGTATAATAATAATAATTATAGTTATCACTTAATGAATACTTACTTTCTATTCAGTACTATATAGGCAATCTGACAGCTCATTGTAATACTCAAACTGTAAAAAAATGGATATTTTCTCCTGTTTCCCTAAATATGAAGACACTGAAATTCAGAAATAATAAGTAACTTGGGGACCAGCAGATAGCATAATGGTTACATCGCTGGACTCCCATGTAGTCGACCACAGTTCAAGTCGTGGACCCAGCAGCTTAAAACTCACACTAGACACATGTGCGTGCATGCCCAAGATCCCGAGAGGAGAATGGAGGAAAAGGGATTACAGCGTGGCCATCCCTCCTGGGGGGAGATTCCTCACCTCCTGTCTCTCTGTGTCTCTCTGTCTCTCTGGTGACCATACACACCCTATAGCAAAAATTGCACTGAAATAAAAAGTAACTTGTTTCAAGTCACACAGCTAAAAGAACAAGAGATAAGATTTATGCTTCAATAGTTTTGTTTTCAAAAACCCCTTGGTCCAGGGACTAGCAGTTGGCATAATGGCTATGTTGCTGGACTCCCATGTAGTCTACCACGGTTCGAGTCCCGGACCCAGTGGCTTAAACTCATGCCGGGCGTGTGTGCATGCTTGCCCAAGATCCCGAGAGGAGAATGGAGGAGAAGGGATTGTGGCATGGCCATCCCCTCGGGGGGTGATTTCTCGCTTTCTGTCTCTCTGTCTCTCTTGTGTGTCTGGCGAGCACACATGCACTATAGCAAAAACCTCTCAAAAAAAAAAAAAACCTCCTTGGTCCAACCGCTGTGGCTCAGCAGCAATAGCATAAGTAGTATAAGTAGTATAAGTAGTATAAGTAGTAGTATAAGT